GACTCTTTTGTTGCTCCTGAGAGGGCCCAGCATTGGATATGCCCACAGTCACTGTGGTATGACAATGGTTATGTCAGTCCTGACTTTACCAGTCACTGTCTTTTTCCCTGAACACAATTAGCTGTTAAGCTCCATTGCTGATCCATAGCTCTAATAGCTGGTTGATTGCTCTGTTGTTTTTGTTTTTAGTTTTTTTAATGTTTACTTTTATTTAGAGAGATAGACAGAGCCGGGTAGGGGCAGGGAGAGGGGGACAGAGGATCTGAAGCAGGCTCTGTGCTGACAGCAGAGAGCCCAATGTAGGGCTCAAACTCATGAACCTCAAAATAATGACCTGAGCCAAAGTCAGATGCTTAACCAACTGAGTGACTCGGGCACCCTACTGCTCTATTGTCTTTGAAAATGCACTGGGACATAAATTGCTTCATAGATTCATGGTATAAAATTTGGGCTCCTTTTCAGAGGTAGTTTTTGAAGTCATTGTTTGATGTTTGTTTTGACCCAATGAGACTCTACTTAGCTGTCTCTTTTCCTAATTCTCTGGTAAACTAGCTGGCATGATGTTAAGTTATATCTCTAATTAATCTACTGATCTCCTCTTAATTGCATTTAACCACAATCTTCATTTTTATCATGCTTTTAGCCTTCAACCTCTCCACACGGTGTGACAATTGCTTTGGAAAGGGATTGGAGCTCTCTACTTCAAAGCCTGCCTCTTGCATTGGAAAAATCTCTGATACAAGGCTCTGGAGCTAGGGATTGGCACAGTGGCACAATTCTCTTTGAATGGCACTCCTGCTTTAGGACCTGTGCAAGGTTCTTTAGGTTTTTTTCTTATAAATGGGGGCTGGGTAGAAGGGAGACCTCACCTTTTGGTTATACTCACCCAAAACTTAGTCTGAGCAACAGATTAACTCAAGGCAGTATGAGAAGTCCCTTCTCTTCTGGGAAGATATAGTGACCCTTCAGATGTGAGCTGAGGTGAGGAGAGCTGTGCTCTTGGCTGTACCCTTCTGGAGTGCAGTGTAGTGGAGTACACTGGAGTGTAGTTTCCATTATGCTGAGCTGGGAAGGGGTAAGGATAGAGAAAGTTTTGGTTCAAATGTCACAGATTTTCATTGTTATTGTTTCAGTAAATTTTCTTAAAGAAATGTGGTTTTTTTTAATTTGCTGTATGCCTTTATGATAATTTTCAAAGAATTTAAGTGGTTATATTTTAAAAACTAACTTCCAGCAATTTCACTGGAGAATGGATCCTCAGAGTTCTTCACATTACCATGCCAGAAGTGGAACACCAACCACAGTTATTTTAAATTCCCTGTGTGATAGTTTCAAGACCCATGTTATATTTGTTTCTGGTTCTCATTATTGTTTTGTCTCTTCAGAAGGGTTTATTTTCTTGTTTTTTTTTATTTCTCATAATTTTACCTGAAAACTGGATGTGTATATGACAATAATTACTGGGGTAAATAGGGTTTATGACTGAAGATGAGCATGTCTTTCCTGCTAAGTTTTTAGTATGGAGGTTTACTTTAGTTAGAAGTTGGGCTTAACTTGATGTTTCTTCCTATTGGCTTTGAGTCTTTCCAGACATCTTTTTTTAATGTTTTATTCATTTTTGAGAGTGAGAGAGACAGTGTGAGCAGGAGAGGGAGAGAAAGAGAGGGAGACACAGAATTCAAAGACAGTCTCCAGGCTCTGAGCTAACTATCAGCACAGAGCCTGATGCGGGGCTCGAACCCATGAACCATGAGATCATGACCTGAGCCGAAGCTGGATGCTTAACTGACTGAGCCACCCAGGCACCCCTCCATTTGTCTTTGAAGTTTTCCTTTGCTCTTCTAAGAAATAATATGTTTCTTACTATCCTCCACTGTTATTTTTACTCAATGTTTATTAGTATGGTGTTGAGGAGAGAGGAACAGGCATTCTCTGATGTTCTGATCAGGTTTTCGTCTTAGGCAAGCACTGTGAACCTGAGTTTTAGTGGTATAACCTTCACATGTATTCATGGCTCTCCTTCAGATAAAATGCTGAACATAACATACATGCCAGCTCCCTCCCTTCATAGAGCTTTTTGTTTTTCTGTTTCCATTCCCCAGATGCTGTGAGGTTCTACCAGTGCCTTCAAGATATGGATTTTTGTTGTCCTTCTTCCTGTTTTGTTTACCAGGGGAGTTTAGTCTGGATGGAATTTCATCAGCGACTGCTGTCTTGCTCTCTTAGCTGACACATTGGAGTGAGCTCTCTAATATTTTCCCTGATCTTCCCTAAGAACACCTAGTGAAGTTTCTAGAATAAAGCTTGAGTGTAAGCCCTTTATATCTGAGCTCTCAGGGACTTCACACATTCATGCTAGCCCTCACTCAGTCTTTAGAAATTCATTAGCAATTTCAAGCTAAATTTTCTTACTTGCCTACATGTTGTTTGGCAGTGTCTATTTCCTCCACAAGTGTCTCTCTAGATTTGTTTGGCCTGTGAACTCAGTTCTCTGGGAGTTTTAAGAAAAATTGTTATTTCGCAGTTTATACAACTTTCTTTCCTGTTGTAGTGTGAGTGCTATTCTTTTTAGCTCTCCATTTGGGGCTGAAACCAAAAATTGTCTTGATCATTTTACAAATTAAATAACATTTGATTTAAGGTTCCTTTTGTTTCCTATAAAGAGTACAAACTATTTTCCTCTAGTGGATTGCAGTGGACAGGGAGTTGAGACCTATTTTCAGGAACATTTATTTCCTTATCCCAAAAATATTTATGGGTTGGGAAGATAGTGAGGGAGAAGCAAAGCAACTATCTCTTATTATATGACTATCCTTAGCAACATAGGTCATTGTCTGTTGGCTAAAGGGAACAGGTAATAGGTTCGATAGTCTCCAATGACAGGAACTCTTCATTGTCAGTCATAAGGCTTTGCTTTTTATTTTCTTCCACTTTCCCTTTGGAGTATGAAGAAGAATTTTGTAGGGATGGAAATTAAACTCCATGCCATAAAACTTTAAAGCATTGCTCCCTTTCAGAGCCAGCTATAACCTGGCTTTGACCAGATAATTTGAGTTTGAAGTAGAAATGTTGAATCTTTCTCTCAGAGTCTATTGAAATAGTCCCTAGAACAATAAGGATGGGGATACAGTTAGGACAATTACTCCAGCCAACCTTGCTTGGACTCCCAGAAGGGTCTTGATTGTGCCTGGGCCTGTTTGGGTGGTTTTGCAGTGACATAAGTTCTGTATATGCACAGTGCAGTACTTCTAATCTTTTAGTCATCCCAGGCCCAAAAGTATAATAGATCCCAGGCAAAGGGAGTTTAAGAAGGAATGTGATCCTCCAACTCAGGAGAAAACAGGTGTTACCACCTGTCTGAATACCTACATGTACTATAGGCAGAGCCCATGATTTAGGGGCCAAGGCAATCAAGCCATGAATTGACATTAACGTCTATTAAAGGCATTAATGGTGGAGGAAGCAATGCCATTGTGAGCTTTGCTCTTTAGGTCTGTCATCTGAAGAAACTTTACCACTATTCTGACATCTTAAAGGATTGGTTGGTCAATAGATTGAAGGTAAAATTCAAATCCTTGTATTTAGGAAAGCAAACTAGTTAAGCATCATCACCTTAGAACCAGGTAAACCTAGGTTCCAGTATAGACCCTTCCCCTTACAGGTATGTGACTTTGCATAAATCACACTCTTTGAGCCTCAATTAAGTTACCTATATAGAAGGCATGATAACACCTTTCTCAGAATTGCTTATCAGAATTAAAGAGTTAGAAATATGAAAAAAAATGGACTGTGAACAGCAGTGATTTATATTACTTCTAGACCACAGTGTGGAAAAATGAGTGTGAAATCTCCAAGTACGCTTTTCCTCTGTTGCAGTGGTATCATAATTAGTCTGGATCTCTGGGAAACAAGAAAGAGCAGAACCTGTTCATCCCCAATCCTCATGAAGTTTGAAAAATAAACCTTTGTTGTGTTAAGCCACTGATGTTTTGGGGTTTTGGGTTTGGTCCTCAGAGTTAAACAGAATAACTGAATGCTTGTTACAATACACATTAGATGCGATAAAGCTATATTGGGAGGCAGGCAATAGATATAGAGATTATGATGGTAAGAGAGAACTATTCAATTTTGATATCAGAAAGCCAGTGGATAATGACTAAAGTTAACAAGTCAGGAAACAGCAGTTACAAGTCATGTATCTGATAAGAGACTTCTATCCAGGATAAACAAAGAACTCTTAAAACTTGACAATAAGACGACAACCAACCCAATTTTAAAATGGGTAAAGGATTTAAATAGACATTTCCCCAAAGAGGATATACAAATGACCAATATGCACATGAAAATATGCTCAACATCATTACCCATTAGTAAAATGCAACTCAAGACCACAATGGATTCCACTTTATACTAAGATGGCCAAAATAAAAAATACAGGCAATAACAAGCATTAGCAAGGATGTAGAGAAGTTGGAACGCTTGTACACATGAATCCGGATGGGACTGTCAAATGCCACAGTTGCTTTGGGAAGCAGTTTGGCAGTTCCTCAAAACGTTAAACATAGAATTACCACATGACATAGCAATTCCATCCCTAGGTATATACCCAAGGAAATAAAACACATATTTAAATGCAAAAAGCTGACACTACTGTATAACCTATATAAAGTTGTTAAGTTGGGGCGTTTGGGTGGCTCAGTCAGTTAAGCGTCTAACTTCAGCTCAGGTCATGATCTCATGGTTGGTGGGTTCGAGCCCAGCATCAGGCTCTGTGCTGACAGCTAGCTCAGAGCCTGGAGCCAGTTTCAGATTCTGTATCTCCCTCTCTCTCTGACCCTCCCCCACTCACACTCTCTTTCTTTCTCTCAGAAATAAATTTTTAAAAAATTAAAAAAAAATAAATTTGTTAAGAGATTTAATCCTAATAGTTCCCATCACAAGGTTGTTTTTTCTTTTTGTTTTTCTTTTTGTTTTTATTTTTCTGGCCTCTCTGCACAGATTGGGGGGCTTCTCAGGAGGAGAGCTTTTCATTTCAGGTCAGCTCCTCAGGGCTAGGATCACACCTTGATCAAGGTGTGTGGGGAGGAAAGGCTCTGGCACTGGTGCACACACTCGCCTTGCATGCCTCACTCACACACTCATACAGTTGTGTATCCATTCACACTCAGCCCACATGAACCTTCCATGCAACATTGTGGCACCACACAAATCACCCTTGTCCCAGGCTGCTCTCCCAACAGGTGCTTTTTTTTTTAATTGTATCTATATGAGATGACAGGTATATAATTATTGAGGTAATTATTTTACAAATATGTAAATCAATCCACATGCTGTACATCTTAAACTCATATGGTAATGCATGTAAATTATATTTCAATAAAACAAAAGATTTCAATTCAAAAACAAATTGAAAATTTTTGATCCTTTCAGCACAAATAAATAACTAGTGTATCAAATACTACACACCTGTGTTTACTTTAAAACAGATAAAAAACAAGTACATTAAACTTAGAGTACCACTTCATAAAAGGAATCAAAGCATTTAAATGAAGTTAAAGCAACTTTGGACATAATCATTAGCATGCACTGAGGTTATTAACAAAATAAGCTAAGGCAGAACCATCATTTCTGTACTAGTAAACAATAGATTTTGTCTTCTCAATAAATTCTATTTTAAAAGGCAAAAAAAAATTTTTACTACTGATTTTTAGTACTGATACATGCTACCATATGAATGAACCTTGAAAACATGATGCTACGTGAAAGAAGTCATATATTGTATGATTCCATATACATATGAAATGTCTAGAATATGCAAATCTGTAGAGACAAAGTAGATCAGTGTTTGCCAGGAGCTGGGGGGAAGAGAGAATGGGAACACCATTATATGTTAATGTGTATAAGTTTTCTTTATAGGGTGATGAAAATATCCTGGAACTAGATAATGGTGATGGTTTCAGAACTCTGCTAATATAATAAAAACCAATCATTTGGACACTTTAAAATTATGGGTGAATTTTGTGGTATGTGAATTACATTTCAATGAAGCTGTTTTTAAAAATTGCAACATAAGCATATTACTCAGAAATATCGAAATAAATACTATAAAAAATAAAAATGTTATGGCAGTTGCCCTTGGAGGATGAGAATGTGGATGGCAAGGCTGAGGTTTTTAATAATAAATTCTTTTGCACTATTGGATTTAAACATTTTTACAGGTATCCACTTGATAAAAATAAAAATGAGCTAAGAACAAAAGGACACATACACAGACATTGTGAGGACAAGTCAAAAGAGATTCTGATATATTGGATATGCCAGGATTCTGAATTTTTGACAAGGTAGCTAGGTGATTTTAATGCAAGTGGTCTGCTGGCAGCTAGCAAAATTTAAGAACACTACTATATCCAATGTTAAAATCATTTACCAATGAATTGTGATATAATTCCTCTCCTACTGTGTTCCTTTTGGAGTGGCAAGTTTCAGTTGCTAAAACATGAAATTATGTGCTCAGGGGTACATATTCAATCAAGGACAGAATGGGAGCAAGAATTGAGGCCTTCTGACTTGATAATTAATGTATTGTTTTTTTAAAAACTTCTAGGGGCGCCTGTGTGGCTTAGTCGGTTAAGCGTCCAACTTTCGCTTAGGTCATGATCCCGCGGTTCGTGGGTTCGAGCCCCGCGTCGGGCTCTGTGCTGACTGCCAGCTCAGAGCCTGGAGCCTGTTTCAGTCTCTGCGTTTCCCTCTCTCTCTCTGACCCTCCCCTGCTCACGCTCTCTCTCTCTCTCTCTCTCTCCTAGAAATAAATTAAAAAAGAAAAAAACAAAACTTCTATTATATGTTGCGGGTACCAAAATCAGTAAGATGAATTATTTGCTTTGAGTCTAATGAGGAAGTCTAATGGGGTAGTTATAATGTCTGAAAAGTATATTAATTAAAATTTACAAAGCATTTTTCCACATTTGTCAGCGTTAAAACTACAGTATAGCATGGAAAGAGGAACCTTCTCTATAGTTCAGCAGGGAACATAGTGAGGATTGGACTCAGCTGAGACTCTCTGGAAATCAAAGAGGTTTTGTTACCTTGAGGATTCCAACCCACCAGCAGCAGTGGGGCCCTTAGGGAAGTGCAGGACCCATGAAAAGAAGCATAGCGCACATCAGACGTAGTATTACTCAAGGTAAAGTGTCACCCCTCTTAGCTTCCAGGACTTATTCCTGGACACAAGTGAGACTTCCTTCAGCCCTCCCTCAAATATCTGTCAGAGTTCTGTTTCTGCTACTGCAGGGCAGGGGGTAGGAATCAACCCAATATAGCTCACATACTCAGTACCTCATCTGATCTTCTCCAAAGCCCTGGAAGAGAAGTTTTATCCCCATTTCACAGATGACTAGACTGTTACAGAAATGGATCTATAATAACTGTCAGTTAATTTCTCCAGTTTCAGGTCCCAGAGGTAATATGAGTTTAACACATTATTTCACATCCTGACAACAGGAATTTTAAGTGTTCCCACTGCTTTCATAAACCCACTAAACTTATTTTCATTGCTTGGTATGTATTTTCCCATTTTAAAATCTTTTTTTATTTATTTTATGATGAAACTAATCTATGTTTTTAAGGAAAAAAGCAGATGAGAGAAGATAATCTCTTCCACTGCCACTACACAGAAAAAACCTCTTTTGATCTACTCATCTCATAGTTTTCCCTACTCATGGATGTATTGTGTAATTTTTTTTCAAAAATGGGCTGATGCTGTATATGCGGTTCTGAAAACTGTTTTTTTATTATTATTTTACAATGTACCATGAACATCTTTTCCATGCACATGGGTGAAAGTTCCCTACTGAAAGACAGAGTGCTGCAGTTGGGTCAGAAGGCTGCTGGTAACCAAGAGTGACACCTAAAGCAAAGTATCAGCGTAAGGTTAAAGCACATAGCCTGGCAAATGCTTGCCAGGGAAAGCAGGGTCAGCAATATTCTCACTAGAGAAATTAGAATTGAAGGCCGAAGGCATTAAACATATGGAATATCTTCTAAATCCTTCTGGCCTCTACCTCCGCCCCTCATTCCTCTGACACCTCGTTGCCCCCTTGAGGCAAAGGGATCCTGTACATCTCTTTGCATCCAATGAAAACCACCCATTTTCTGCTTTTTCCTTAGCTCTTCCTGAGCCCTGGACACATCTCCACATTCTCTCATCATCTCCTCACTGCCCAAGTGCCTTTCCTGCAAGTCCTCCTGATAGTCCTTGGGGGAATCATCTGTCCCCCTGTCCGTTTTTCTTTTTGCTTTCCTAGGCACATAATCTTCAGCTGGGCGCTTTTCAGCAGCCCGCGACTCACTCTCAGAAATTGCCAGGGATTCTGGCTTGCCCTCACTGTGTGGTTTTCCCTCGTTTTCAGACTTGCCCTGCTTTTCTTGCTTTCCCTCATCTTCTGGCTGTCCCTCATTCTGGAGCTTTCCCTCATGCCCTGGCTTCCCCTCCACTTCCAGCTTTTCTTCCTCATCTGAGTTTGCTTCATCTTCTGTATCTACTTCATCTTCTGGCTTTCCCTCATTTTCTAGGTTTCCTTCGTTTTCTGGCTTTTGTTCATTTTCTTTGTAGACCTTTTCCATGTTGAGAGTCTCCCTCCGTTTCCTGTTGTAGGAGACAAAAAGGAGAACTTAGGTTGTGGAATATAGTTCCTAAAAATACTTGCCTTTATGATTTATGGTTTTCCTTACCCTATCCCAAATTACAGATGCACTCCTACCTATACATCTTTTTTCCTTTCCTCCCCACTTCTCATAGGTTTATATGAGCCAGCCTTACAGAAACTTCCACAGGTGCTTCTCTCTACATTTAAGTCGGGTGTGCTGAGAAGTGTATAAGAGCATATTTGTCCCTAAACTTTGCTCTGGCCTTAGCAATGCCCAGGACAATTTTAAATGGGTAGTCGCAACTCACACTGCGGTGCAGGAATCCTGGCCAGTTTCTTTTTTTCCTTGCCTACAGTTGTAAGACTTCTAGAACTGCAGATATAACAGAACAATGGCCAGTTCTCAGATATCAGGGTTATTCTAGTATCTTCAAGGGGCTTCACAGATGCCATGCCTCCTGTCTCCCACTTCTTTGTTCTTCCTTGGTCCTCAGCAGCCATAAAGCACCATGTTCCTTCCCTTAGGGTCCTGGCAGAGGCCATGTATTCTGAGACTGCAGTAGGATGGCTTGGAGGAGGGTTGGCAGGTAGTGGCCTCCTCAACCTCTGCTCAAGCTTAAGTCACTCCCACTCCCAGGGGTCCTGAGACAGTTACCTTCTCCCACTGACCTGCACTGATCCTGCAGGTCTTTCCTTTTCTTGTCTGGGTTGGTGCCTACAACCACAGACCCGAAGACCTATAAAAGAGACAGGAGACAGATGGTGAGTGAGAAGTGAATGACTGGCAACTGGAATGCTGTTTCTTTCCACACTATAGTTGTCAATACTTTCCCAACTCCTGCCACCCCCTTGTCCTTTCCCTTGCTTCCCTGATCCCCCTCTACATCCCCTCCCTAATATCTCCATTTTCTACCACTGGGCAATGGCAGTGAACGATTATTATGTTTCGGAATCCTCCTCCCAAATTTATATCTCATTTGTTCTTGCACTAAAATGAGTGAGGTTCAGGTCAGTGATGTTTGGAGGCAGATCCTGCTGTGTTCAGGTATCTGCCTTCCAAACCCCCACTCAGGGTGCCCACTGAGCACAAAGCCCATCACTTTTCTGAAAATGATGAAGATAGAGTCAAGAGGCAGGACTGAAACATTCAGAACATTCCTGACACCCCTTGTCTCTCCACATACATGGAATACCACGTTTTCCTACAATGCAAGAGAAAAATTATTTCCAAATTCAGTACAAAAATTTGGCTCATGGTATCTCCTCTCAGTCCTCTCTAGTTTAAAAGCTACTCCTCCACAACAGTCTCCACACTGAACCTCTCTGTCATCCTTCTTTGTAGCAGCCCCTTCCTATCCCTCCCCCCCCCACCTGCAGCCCACCATTTTCTGCTCCAAAATGGACGTAAGGTGGAAAAGAGATGCAGAGAACGTAGGCCCTCCCCACCTTTGGCTCACATGCTGTGCCACCCTCCCGCTGCCCCGCAGAGATCAGGCCATTTCCTTGCCATCGTCATCCCCCTCCCCCGGCCCTCTCCGGCAGACTTCGCTGGATAAACAGCCTCCTAGGAGATCCCAGTTGGTACCCATTCTCAAAACCT